CCAGCCCCTAGCACCAGGCTCGCCCCTCCCCCCACAGTCCCTCCCGCTACACACCCGCCGCCGCTCACACCAGACGCCCCGGCCCCGGCCCCGGCCCCACTCAACCTCCGCAGCCCCCGTCCCAACGGCCGCTCCCGCCCAACCGAGCGCCCACTGCGCCTGCGCGCCCCGCCACTTCCGGGAAGTGGAAGGTCTGCCCCGCCCCATTGGCGGGAAGGAGCCCGGGGAGGGAGGCGCTCTGGTTCGCTCTATGGTGCGTTCACTCCTCCAGGCCGCTCTAACCATAGAGAGGGCGCTGTGAGTCACTCTATGGTCAACTTAGTCCTCCCATAGCGAGGGGGGCTCTGCCTCGCTGTATGGTTAGCTCAGTGCTCCAGGGATCTATAATCATAGAGGGGGGAACGCTGTGGCGCGCTTTAGGGTTTACCCAGTTCTCCCGCCCCTGCAACCAGATGGGGGCGAGAGGGGCTCACTCTAGGGTTAACTCAGTCCTCCAGGTACCACGGGTCAAGGGCTCCACCGTCTGCTCTATCCCAGGATAACCAGAGACCGGTTAGCAGGCGCTCTGGCTGCCCCCCTCCGTCCCAACCCTAGAGACGAAAAATGACGCTGGGGTGACACCCGGAAGTGGGGTGGAGGGCATGTGATGGGGCACACAGCCGGAAATTGCCCCGGGGAGGGAAATCGAGGGGACACCGGAAGTGCCGCCAGGGGAAGGTGATGGGTGAGACACCGGGAAGTGCCGGTTCCCACGCGGAGCGAGAGGCGGGAGGCACCCGCAGAGCCCGGCCGCCCCAGGTGGGGAGGTCCCCGGACCCCTGGGTCCTCCCAGCTCTGGGGATGGGATCGGGGGTGGGGGGCGGACGCCTGCGGTCTTTCTGGCCCTGCTGAGCCTCCGGCCGCGTTTTCCTCCTGTAGTTCATCTCCCGGAGACCCCGGCTCCGCGCTGGCTCCGCCCCCCACGCAGGTAGGGGCCCCATGCCTCTATCCCCGACCCCCAGGGGGTGGAGGGGGGTCACCAGGACTGGGAACCCCGCGGGGGGGGAGCAGCAGGAAGGTTCCTGGCACCATTTATTAGGGGACTTAATGGGGAAACGGAGGGAAGGAGCCCAGCTGCCCTGGTCTCCAGGTCTCTCTCCTCCCACCACCCAGGGCTGAGCCATGTCCCAGGCCACCAAGCGGAAGCATGTGGTGAAGGAGGCGCTGGAGGAGCTGGTGGTGCCCACAGCCCAGCAACAGATTGTGCGGGTGAGTGAAGAGCCCTGTCCCCCCACCCAGCATCAGCCACATCCTGGCACCACATACAGGGGAAGTCTCAGCTGCGTGCTGGGTTGTCATGGGATAAGTGCTGCCCTGTCCCAGGACTAGTGCGTTCAGGGCTGGGTGAGCCAGGCAAGGACGGGCTCCTCTGTCTGCTCTCTCCTGGGATAACTAGCACTTGTATTAACCCAGTACGTGGAAGGAGTCACTACGGGTTAAGGGCTTCCTTGTCTGGCTAATACTGGATGCGCTTATCCTAGAGCAGAGATGTGGGCAGGAAGAAGTTGGCACAGGTTAAGGGCTTCCTTGCCTGTGTACTGTTTTGGGATAACCAGCTTCAGTATGAGACCTATGGGAAGGAAGGAGTTACCCCAGTTTAAATGCCAACACCTTCCTGCCTCTGAGGGAGTGTTGGGCTACATATAGAGCAGTTAGAGGAGTTACCATGGGTTAAGGGCTCCCTTCCTGTCTGCTTTATCCCAAGATAAGCAGCTTCAGTATCAGACCTATGGAAAGGAAGGAGTTACCCCAGTTTAAATGCTGCCTTCTCTGTCCCAGAGGAGGGAACGAGTTAACACGGGTCAGGGGCTTCCTTGTCTGTCTGTTCTGTCCCAAGATAGCCAACCTTAGCATTAGACCCCTGGGCGAGGAGGAGTTACCCTGGGTTAAAGCCTCCCCTGTCTGTACGCTGCATCCTGGGATAATCCTGGCCCCTCCCCTAGGTTGTGGGCAGCCCTGGGAACAACCTGCACGAAGTGGAGGCACCAGGGGGCGAGCGCTTCCTGGCCAGCATGCCCCCCAAGTTCCGTCACAACCTGTGGATCAAGAGAGGTGAGTGGCTGCAGTACCTCTGGGGGCTGGGGGATCCCCACCACCCACCCACACACTTCAAGGCAGGCCCCACCCCCTCACCTGCCCTTCCCACAGGTGACTTCCTGCTGGTCGACCCCATCGAGGAGGGCGAGAAGGTGAAGGCAGAGATCAGCTTTGTGCTCTACAAGGACCACGTACGCTACCTGCAGCAGGAGGGGCTCTGGTATGTAGAGAAACCAAGACACGGGACAGGGCACCAGCCCCAGGACCTCCCCCCAGTCAGGCAATGCCACCCCAACCTTCCCTCCCCTGAAATAGGGAAGATTGGGTCTTTATTTCCAAGTGGGAAAACTGAGGCACAGACGACAGCAGCTCTGAGACCCCCCACTCCCACCCCCTCCCATGATCTCTCCATGGTAGGCAGTCCCCTGCCTCTCTATCCCTGTGCTAAACTAGTAGAGGGGATTTAGACTTAGCTTCTGAATGAGGAAACTGAGGTACAGGGTGGTAGGCACCAGCCTTGACTCCCCCTCTGCCCAGCATCTCCTAAGCCAGGCAGTCTCGCACGCAAGACCAGCCCCTCCTCTCCACTGCTGAACCAGGGGGAACACCACACTCTTAGCTTGTGATTCTGAGTGGGGAAACTGAGGCACAGAGGCTCAGGCAGCAGCCTTGGGACTGCCCCCCACCCAGAACCCTTCCTGGCCACGCAATCGCACCTTCCACTTTCACTTCAGCCTTGGCTTCGAAGTGGGGAAACAGGCTTGTGGGAGCAGACATAGCCCTAACACCACCACCCCAGCCAGGCAAAGCTATCCCCCAACCTTCCCTCCACTGAAGGAGGGGCTCTTAAGTCTTAGCTTCTGAGTGGGGAAACTGAGGCATGGAGCTGCAGGCAGCAGTTCTGGTTCTCTCCCCTTGCCTTATTGGGTTGAATAGGCCTCAGCTCTTGGGAGTTGGGGGGAGGATCCAGGGCACAGGGAGTTAAGTCCAGGAGTTGGGCGTACAGGCAGGACTTGCCCCACTGGGGCCTGCCCTCCCCCCATTCTGGGCTATAAGGAGTAAATCATGGCTGTGCTGGAGTATAAGGGGTTAATACCAGCTGGGACTGGGGCAGTGGCTGGTGGGGGGAGGGTCTGTACCCCACCAACTTCTGCCCTTGTCACTGGGATGGCTTCTAGAAGCTACA